AATACATAATTTTTAAATTATTAATAAATATATTAAAAAAATCCCAAAAATAAATTCCTAAAATTTTCCTAAAAAAACCTCTTAAAAAATAAAAAATCGTTAAATAACAAAATTTCCTTAATATTTTTTTTTTCCGACCAAATATATTCCTTAAAAAATATAATTTTTAAAGATATCATATCTTATATTCTTTAAATAAAAATTCCAAGAAAATCCACTAAATTACATTACACTACATTCCACAACACTAAAACTACACTCCACTACACGACAATCCACCCCTTTAAGGAAAGGAGATAGGAGGGGGGTAAAAACTAAAATATTTCACTTAAGACCCCCCCCACATACCTAAAAATATTTCACCTTCCTAAAATAAAATATTTCAGCTAAAAAATTCTAGTCTATAATAGCTTTGGGCGTAGTTAAATTCAAGGCTAAACATCATATTCTAAAGGCTATTTAACAAATTCATTTTTTTATTTATTTTCTCAGAAACCGGCAATTACCATTTACCTAGTTATCAGTATTTGCGCATGGGTCCTACCCGCGTAAGGACTAAAAAGGAATAACGCCCGGAAGAACCTCCCTCCACGTCTTTTAACACCCAAAAAAATATGTAGGGAGGAGGTATATTTCATATAATCAAGAAAAATATTTCTCAGAATTTTTTTGCTTTACCCCTCCCCCCAAATATTCCAGGGTAAAGGGGGGGGGGGATATACGATACTACATTATAATACACTACATTCCACTACTTTACACTACACTACCTTCCACTACACTTCATTACATTACACTACACTTCAGTACACTCCACTACACTACAATTACAGCTACAACTACAGAACTACACCCCACTACACTCTACTACACTACACTACACTACCTTCCACTACACTTCACTACATTACACTCCACTACGCTACACTCCACTACACTACATTACACTACACTACACTACCTTCCACTACACTTCACTACAGTACACTACACTTACATTCCCTTAACATTCCACTACACTATACTACATTACACTACACTACATTACACTGAATGACACTGCACCACAGATAGACAAGTAGACAGCTAGACAGATGAAAGAGAAAGAGAGAGAGATAGAGAGAGAGAGAGAGATAGATAGATTAGATTTGATTAGATCAGATTAGATAGATTAGATTTGATTTTAGATCTAGATTAGAAGACAGACAGACAGATAGGTAATTAGATGAAAGAAGAGAGAGATAAATCGATCGATCGATCGATTTAGATAGACCATAGAAGATAGATAGGTTCGGCGGTAGGTAGTCGAGAAAGAGAGAGAAAGAGAAGAGAAAGAAGAGAGAGGGAAAGAGAGGAGACCTCAAGCA